TTAGTACTAATATTAGTAGTAGTAGTAGTATTGTTAGTATTAGTACTGTTAGCATTAGTAGTAAAATTAGTACCCAAAATTGTGGTAAAATCACGAACATTGATATTATTATTATTATTACTATTATTATGGATTAATCTTTTCTTTCAATACAATATAATTCGACATAGATCAGTTATATTTTATGATAAATTCCCTACTTAATTTTCATACCCAATTAAGTTTTTTAGTTGATTATATCTATACTACTACTACTACTACTACTACTACTACTACTATTACTACTACTACTATTACTACTACTGCTACTACTACTACATATGTATATATATACATGCATCACTGATCTGATTAAAAAACCAATTAATTTGACTAGATATAACACAATATAGGGTATTATTATTATTATTATTATTATCATTTACTATATTCATAATTCATACATAGATTGAAGGGAATAAAACAATAAAAGTTTGTGAACATTTAATTATTATTAAGTTAATAATAATTATAATTATTGTAATCTATAGCTTAGATCAATTCAATACAGAAATTCCCGAGTGATTTTCCTATTATTATTAGTAGTAGTATTAGTATTGTTATTATTATTATTATATGTATGTATGTATGGATGGATGTATATGGTCGTATCTAACTAAAGAATATTGATTCAAGGATATCTTATGGGATAATACATAGTTCTATTTTGTATTTGAATACTTTCCTCGTGTTTTTTTTTAAAAAAAAAATTTATTGTTTAAAAAGTAAAGCCGTGAATCAAATTCCCTAGTTTTTAATAGTCAGATTAAAGATTTAAAATGTTACGGATAATATTGACTCTTTCTTACCTTTTAAAGAATATCTTTAACGGTGAGATTATAATTTATGAATGACATTTGAACGAAGCTAAAGTGACCTAGAGAGTGTTCACTTAATAACTAGGGCTAAATGAGGGTTATAAAACTGTGTGAGGAATTAGAATTATGATTTACAGTTGATGGTTAAGGTAAGAAATTCAATTTAGGGTTTTCATCATGAAGTGACATCAGCTATAATATCAAAACTCTATTTTGCCAAATGCGTAAATGAATTTCGCGCCAAAATTTGAGACCTGTTATCGTAAATCTGATTGTCTTACTGAAATACAAACCATTTTTTGAGTAATCATGTGTACTTATCATTCTGATTGACTCAATATATCAGTTTTAATGAATGGTTTTTGAAATTGAGCACATTTATTTTTGAAGTGATTTATTCAACTGTTCAATGTTTAGTATTAGTAGTTAGGCGTTATACGTTTAGTCTGTAATTTTGTCACTAAGCAACTGTGTTGAAAATCACAACAAAGTTATACTATACCGATTACCTTCGGCAATAGTTGTAAAGATTGTCAGAAATATCCACTCGTAATGGTGTAACATGAAAGAAATGTAGAATGGATATACACTTCATACATGATTATCAATTTTATGTAGAATCATAATAGATTTATCTGTTTACAATTTTCAGTATGTCCGATACAAATCCTTTCTAATTGACGTTTATGCAGTTATGAATATACATTTAATCATATGTACATTTAATTAATAATATCCACTTTTGTTAAATGACTGATGAAATAATATTGACGAACAGCGATTTCATGATCTGATTCTTATTTTCGAAGATTTCTATGAACACTTCAACATTCTATAAATAGGAAATTATGACATTCTATTTAGAATTTATCATCAGATATTTGATCATTAACATTCTTTTTTTACATTTCCACTATGAATTTTAAATTATTGTCTCTGTCCTGTTTAGTTGATTACGGTGAAATGGTCGGTTTATTGATATTTCTGATGTAAACAATGCTACATAAGAAATGTCGACTAGTATCTGTCAAGAATTAATAACATTATATAAGTTGCAAATCTATCTTGTTAAAATGATACCGACTATTTACATCGTTCTTCTGAACGACATCATTAGTATAAACTTCAGGTGGAAGTGAAGTTGAATTGATTCTGTGATTATAATTTGTTATTAATAAACTAAATTAAAATGTATACACATACTTCCGATTGCTTTCAAACAGTTGTATTTTATCATATCAATAATCTGATTGTTCTAAATAGTTTTTCCGGTCGGAATATAAGTTTGTCAGTGTTTAAACGGGTGCTTTACCGAAATAAGCGTATATATATATATGCTTGTTTCGGTAAAGCACCCGTGTATAAATACTGAATAAAGTGTAAATGCTTATTGAAATCAAAGTATATTTTAGCGCTTTAATATAATCCATAGCGCAAGTTGTCAGTGTAGTGCATTTAGAAAAAGCAAAATGTTATGATATACACAAGATTGTTTTCTTTTAATAGCATATCTACTTTTGTTATCACTTGCATGTAGAAAGCTCATATAAATCTTTCTAATTCATTGACTGAAAAGAAATGAAGATTCAATCTCAAATCATTACAATTTCACAAACTTATCTAAGTAGAATAAAATTGAACAATATCAAAGATGAAAGTGTTTAAATAATAGTAGCTATGGTAATTACTAATCATAGTGAAAACCAAACTTTTAAAATGTAATTTCAATGTTTGAGATCATGAGTCAGTTGAAGCTAGACAACCATAGAAAACCTGGAAGCACTGAACTACCGTTTCGTCCTGCTGTGGGGCTCCTCAACAGTGCGCATCCATGACCTCGCATCGCGAGATATGAATCATCATATGCTCACTGGTGACTGGCTTCAAGAGGTATTTCCTGGAGTGCTAGTGGGAAACAGTGACCAGTGGAGTTCAACTGGGTCTGTCGTGAGATAGTAACTCACTGATGAAAACGGTAGATGTGTGGCCCAATTTCTTAGATTAGTTGAAGTTAAGAATTAACACCGTTGGATGCCAGCTCAGTAATCTAGTGGTTAAGCGTTCGCGCGCGCGAGACTCATAGGTCATGGGTTCAAATCTCGTGAGACGGGGTCGTGGATGAGCACTGCTGAGAAGTCCTAAATTAGTACGAAACGGCCATCCAGTGCTTCCAGGTTTTCTATGTTTGTATAGCTTCAACTGACTCATGATCTCAACCAATTAAATCGCTATACTATCCACAAAATCTTTCTGATATAAATAGGAATTATATGTCACTATTGTGAGTGGATTTATTGTTTGTTAGCCATAAATCACTATGATTGCTTTAGTCAATATAGTTCGACTTAATTATTAAGAAATTCATAGTTGACCACTGTATCACGAAAGTGGATATATTCAGGTTTTCTAATTGTACTTGTTGGTACCTATCATTAAAATGTATCATCATATTACTTAGTTCAGATTGCATGTGTATTCTTTTCTTATTCATGTTTGTTATTTATTATTATTGAACACTGAAACCCATAATTATTTGTTGTCAGTGTGATGTTTCTTTACTAAATTACATGTTATCATTTGATATTGTGTACTTCTTATATCCCTTTTTTGTATGTAAAATGTAAGTATCTGTTTGCATGGAATTGGAATTGGTAATATCATCCAACTTTTCAAATTTCCATATTAGCTCTATTGAAATCTTTGCTGCATCACGATATACATATTCATCTGTAATTATCTTCATGTTTATAAGTATATCAATATTTAAATTCATTTTGTATTGTTTGTTTGAATCTTCCCATTGATGTTTAGGACTGCAATTGATCAGTCACTTATAGCCAATATATGCATCCGATACAGATTGCCTCAATATTGCTTTCAGTCACAACCATTATAAGTGAAGATGGATGGTTGACTAGTAATGGAATCTGAGACACGCGTTTCGTCAGTCTGTAATCTTGAATGCTGTTAGAGATATGAGGTTGGTTATCACTTCCAGTCTGCACACATCAAGGATGGGTTCTTCTAGAGGTACTTGAAAAGGAAATTGCGTTGGGGGCGCTCATAGTGACCTGAGAGTTTAATCGCAGTGCTCAAAAGATAACTACTTGAGGTCGATTACACGTGACTTTTTGTAAGTAATTTTCATGTTAGCTGCCTACTTGTTGAGACCTTACTACCGGAGACGAAAATTCGTGGGATAAGGTGAGGGGTGTATTTTTAAGGTCGATCTTTTCTAACCCCACCCTTCCTTGTGGGAAGGCAGCATCGCTGTTATGCTGGTTTTCTAAAAGAAAACATCTTACTGCTGTCACACCTCTGTACAGTCAGCAGTACGACTTCGCCTTCGGACATTGGGTTTGTTGCTTTTAGTCTTATCGCTCTTCAACCAACTTGTCTAAACTGGTAGGACCTTGAGGAACGATTGTTTCAGAACATGAAAATTTTATCTTATTAAAAATAATCTTTTACAACATTTTACATCTTGTCAAGTTAATAAATCTTTAAAAGAAACCTTTCATCTATATCATTTTCTTTTTTTCGCTTTGTTTTGCTCAAAACAATATTGTTAGTTTGATTTTCAAACAATCTATTCTCTTTAACAAATCGTTAATTTCATAAATTCCATATTTATTAACTTGCATGGGTATAGTTAAATCAATTTGTTTTTTTCAATTCAGTTTATCATCTTTTTTTAAATTGAAGGTTTTTGTGGAGATTTTAGTAATTTAATAGTCGGATTCATGAATCGATTAAAGCTATACCACCATGGAAAACCTGGAAGCACTGGGTGGCCATTTCATCCTATTGTGAGAATTTTCAGCAGTGCGTATCCACTATCTCACACAGGAGATTCGAACCTACGATCTTTGATCTCTCGCTCGAACGCTTAACCTCTAGACCAATAAGCCGGCATCCAATGGTCTTAATGTCTAACTTAAATCGATCGAGCTATTCCATGGTGGTCCAGCTTTAATCAACTCATGAACTCAACATTCATTTATTTATTTTAATTGCATGTCAGTTATACTAGTCACTTTGTTCCTTAATTTATTTGTAAAATTTAAACTCATTTAAATTTAAAGCGGTACATTTTAACAGTCTTATCCTTTAACTTGTATTGATTTCTTCTTTTTTTTCCAGGAACAAACAACTGAACAAACACCTAGAAAAGAAGATGTAAGTTTTCGTGATGCATTGTCAACATATTTCAACTGAGTGTATTCTATTTTCATTTTAATATGGATCGTTTTCTTTGAAAGTAATTGATCTACACAAAAACATTGACTTCATATATAATAACATAAACAGATCATTCAATGATAGCCAGTTTTATATATAAGTTTAGCTTATAAATATCTGAATAGATTGTAATAATCAAGTTGAATTTTGTGTTTTCTAGGTCTGTATGACCTAATATTATGTGTATTGAATCCTGAAAATAGAATTCATCGTAAGTTTAGTTGTTCGATTAAAAGAATTGAACAATATAAATTCACAGAAGTATATGATCTTTCTAAAAATTTATATTAATCAGATAACTTAATAGTTTTTAGGGGAAGCCTTGACTTTAAGGATTATAATTGATTATCATCTGTTGGCAATCTAGCCTATCATGTCCTGAATAAGATGAAACGCGCTTCCTCGTTTCTACTGACATTTAAAATCTTTATATACCAAGTACTTGTAACTAGTTAGTGTTTTCTTGGCAAAGTTCTTTTTTTAAGAGATTAGGTTGTTAACCTTATAATCTTCTAGCTGGGCTTGAGGCCTGCAGTAACCCTAGAAGGTCTCTAGGCAGAGCTAAAGCAAAGAGAGTCCAAAACAATGTTCGTTGGAGAATCCTAGTTAACGGCCTATATTTCACGAGGGGTAACAGGTGTAAGTAGGTAACTTGCAACGGAAATATGATATTGAGGAATTTCGCTCATACCAATAGTAAATGGTCGATTTGTTATGAATATTACCCGTGTCCATTGTCATGTGACAAAATCGGCAATCAGAATACCGACATATATGACCTTGTACTTGTGCCAAACGAATGAAACATCAACCAGCACTAGCAGCCCTACGTCAACTATGAATCTCTTTTGATCCTTCTCGTCTAGCCCTGCCTGCTTAGTGAAGAACACAATCTCAGCCTCCACTGTATGAATAATTTATTTCAGGCACACTAAGTTTATATAGAGACGAATCAGACTGTAATACATCATAAAATAAAAGATAACAATTATACAAGAGCAGTCCAAAAGTGGCTACGAGTGTGAGAGACTGTAACTAATACATCGGAAATAAGTTAAGAACGGTTAATCGTATAACAGTAGTTAACAGGTCAGATGAAAGCTTATGATTATAGCAATACGAACATATATATAATCTAGTTAATTAATAAGAATACAGTAGTAATAGTCTATAAGAATAATGTCTAAACATTGACACCGTTGGATGCCGGTTAAGCGTTCGTTGTCGATATCCAAGTTCCTAGGCTCGAGCCCTGCGTTTGGGATCATGAATGCTAACTGCTTAGAAGTCTCATACTGCGACGAAACAGTCGTTAAGTGCTTCTGGGTTTTCCATGGTGTTCTCGCTTAGATCAACTCATGAATCCAATTGTTAAATGACTACAATCTGCATAAATCTCCATTCTGATAATTTTATTTTAAAATTTACTCTGATTAATTGCATGAATTATATTTGACAATTTCATGTATTATTAGAAGGGATTGTGTGGAGATTTTAGAAATTTCACTGGTTGAAATCATGAATCAATTGAAGCTAGACCACCATGGAAAACCTGGAAGTACTGGACGGTCGTTTCGTCCTAGTACGGGACTCCTCAGCAGTGCACATCCACGATCCCGCTCCTCGCGAGATTCGAACCTATGACCTATCAGTCTCGCGCCAGACGCTGTTGAGGAGTCCCATACAAGGACGAAACGGCCGTCCAGTACTTCAAGGTTTTCCATGGTGGTCTAGCTTCAATTGATTCATGATTTCAACTATTGAAATTACCAATTCTCCACAAAACCCATTCTAGTAATAATCATCTGCTCACTAGTGACTGACTTCAAGAGATACTCCTGGAGTTCTAGTGAGGAGCCGTGACAAGTGGAGTTCAACCAGGTCTGTTGTGAGATATCAGCTCACTGAAGACAATGGTGACGGTGGCGCAACTTCGTGGATTAGTTGAAGTTAGACATTAACACCGTTGGATGCCGGCTCAGTGGTCTAGTTGGTTAAGCGCCTGGCGCGAGACTGATAGGTCCTGGGGTCGAATCCCGCGGGGTGCGGGATCGTGGATGCGCACTGCCGAAGAATACCATACTAGAACGAAACGGCCGTCCAGTGCTTCCAGGTTTTCCATGGTGGTCTAGCTTCAATTGATTCATGATTTCAACTATTGAAATTAACAATTCTCCACAAAACCCATTCTAGTAAAAAATTAAAAGTTAAAAACAATGGAAATGAATCGTTAGTTAAGTTATAACTGGCCATGGAAGGGATAGGGGAGTTACAAATTTCTTCTATACACATAAATTGGGGTTATATGTACGAATTCCTATGGCTTCAGCTATATGTAGGAGGCGGGAACGAACTCCGTTGGGAAATGATGGAGGTATACGATAGATCACTCGAAATGATTTTGATTTATCTACAGCATGACCATTATCAATAAGATGTGCCAGGATAGAACTGCGTACTGTTTTTATCTGGCCGTTTATGCACCATCTTGGTAGATATTCACTCATTTGTTGGTTAAGTTGCCTGATAGTACGCCCGATATTTTATTATTCTTACTACTATCAGTACACCTGTCTTCCTACTATCAACTTGTACTTTTATCCATTATGTGTGGTAACTTATTCTATTTCATTGTAATTACTGACCCAAAATTGCCTTGATTGGTTTAACATTTTCGTATAAATATTACTGTATATTAGAGTAAAGCCTGATGACGATCTAATTGAAAACAATTGTTCGCTTATATATGTTGTTCTAATTTTCACAATGGGAATCTTTAATATTTTAATATATATGCAATTCTTCTTAAGATAGTTCAATTGAAATTAGAATTACAATTGTAGCATGTATGTTAATCCGGATTCAGTAATATGAACTAGAGCTGCTTTATTCATTCAATATAAGTATTGTTATTTTACTTCTATTCCTTCATGAAATTATCATCTTTTATATCATTAGATCTCATCTATTAGTTGTGTTTTATTGAATAATAAATGTAATAGATCATAGGTAATCATATGCTGTCTTACTGACATGAATCTTCTCTAGAAGATTCTAATGTATTAGTGATTTGATAGATGAATTCCCCATTTATCAATGTACATTCAAGATCTTTTAATTATTTAATCATTATTCAATACCATTAATTGTTTTAATCTCATAATTAACATAATTGAATCTTATCAAAACTTTAGTAGGACTTTTAGTGGCCCGGTATCTGACTTCAGTGAGATTGTTTCTGATTGCTATTGAGAAATACATAACATCAATCGTCGTATATATAATCATCGACTTAAATCGCGTTAGTGAATAACAGAATTAAATAAGTCAAAATACGTTCATTCATTCAAATAAGAAATTTAGGAACTATCAAAGTAACAAATGACTATTGAATATTATATTGTTATCAGAAAGGGGTTTCTGTGGATATTATAGCAATTCAGTAGTTGAAACTAGACCACCATGTAAAACCTAGAAGCACTGAACAACCTTTTCATCCCAGCATAGGACTCCTCAGCAGTGCTCATTTACGATCCCGCCCCCAGGAGATTCGGACCCATGGCTTATCGGTCGCGCATGCTTGAACGCTTAACCACTAGACCACTGAGCTGGCATTCAACGGTTTTAATGTCTAACTTCAACCAATCCACGAATTTAAGCCACACATCTACGATTGTCATCAGTGAGTTACTATCTCACAACAGACTCAGTTGAACTCCACTTGTTACTGCTTCTCACTAAATCTCCAGGAAAACAAACATTCACAATTGTTGTATATTATATTTTTCATTAGGAGATTTTGCATAAGACATTTCAATGTATTTTATTAAAATATAACGAGAGAAAAAAAAAGAAAGAAAAAACACGATAGAGAAGAGAAAAAAGTTTTATTTTCGAGAGAGAAAAAAAGAAGAAACTGTATTTAATGGGCATATCATCAGTTGATAATACGAATACTGTTACCATTTTTTTAATTTCGAAAATCTAATTATAATTTTGTCATATCCATTAATTGAGTTGCGTAATTTATTATTTAACATAGTTTTAACAGACATAATACTTCACTTGTCTGTTACCTAAATAATGTCTATAATGAATTACTTATGAGAGCTTGATGCTTTTCTATACATGTTGATATTCAGGAATATTTAGGTTTTGTTTATTTATTCGATCGATTGTATGTATTTAGATAGTAAGGCTTAAACTTAAACGCAAGACCTTACATTTTGAACTACTCAGCCATTGTAATCACCAAAATGTTACAAACCTGTAACTAAACCTCGAGACACTAGACGACCATTTCTTCTTAGTATGGAACTCCTCGGTGCTACGTCTCCAAGATTCCGCAGACAGAAACCAAACCTATGACTTTCGATCTTGTGTGCGAAAGCTTAACCTTTAGATCATGGAGTCACTTAGGAGTTCCATACTAGGACGGAAAGGCCGTCTAGTGTTTCTGGGTGTTCAATGCTGGTCTAACTTGGATCGTTTCATGATTTCAATGAACTTCAACAATATTGATAATTTCATGCTGAAAACCTGTAAATACAGACATTGTCGAAACATTTGTACAATCAAGTTATTTATGAAAACCGATTTCTCAAATTCGGTCCTGACTATTAGCAACTGAGAAATAGATATCAGAGCCTTTGAATAAAAATAATGAACGACGTAACTTAATAGTTTAATAGATAATGGATTGTGCTACGAGCGACAAGCTCTGAGTTCAGGTCTAGATGAAGACACCAACACAGAAGTGAAGGGATATCCAGTTGGTGTGTTTACAATAAAACTAATTCCACTTTTACCCACTATCCAAAATAATGTTTAGCAGTATATTACGGATAGTGTTAAATCATTGTATTCAAGACCTGTCATTTGAAAAGCATCCGTTCACATCTCAGTATGTCTATGTTTTCACTGCATCTTGAATTCAGTACACATGATATTAAAGTTTAAAATGTTATTTACCAGGCTACTGAACTGAGATAGTTACCATTACTCGCCCAAAGCGTATGATAATATTAATATGTATATATTTATATTTTTATAGAGATAGTCGAAGGAAAACCCTAAACCTAGGCTTTATACTGTTTGATATTCGTCAGCATGGTGTACGTGTAATCTTGAGGGAAATGATATTTTCTAGGGGTTCTATCCCGTTTCATCCAGCTTCGTAGTCAGAGACGTTACCACTGAGTTATTCGGGTAGTGGCTGATCTTCTGTAGTAATAATTTATGACCATTGTCATGTATGCCAATTTCTTCCTAATACTGATCTAGTTCTATCAATCAAATTGTCATACTATTTTTAATAACTCAATATATCGTTGCCTTTGTTCGATCGATAGAATTCAATTAGTACCAACAAGGACCTGAAATGCATTATGTTGATCATTACTTAATCATCAAACAACTATGAATATATATATACATATATAATTGAAAAATTTAGGTTTACAACAATTAAAAGGTAAATTATAATCAAAGATGAATAGCGGCTAGCAATGGAATCCAAGACGTACGTTTCGTCCCATTTGGGATTCGTCAGCTGGATGTACCTGCATCTCAGAGTTGATGTTCATTCTTTGAATAATTTCATAGTTATTTTATTCATAGTTTAGATAATTCTTCTATAATTTTCTTCATATTAATTTTTATGAATTATTTTATTCTATTTTTTTGTATCATTCAGGAGGAAGGAGACGTTGAGAAACCTCAAAATTCAGGTTATATTTCTTAAATTGTTTTAATATTTTGTTTCTATATGACAGTTATTATATAATAGTTTGTTCTTCATAATGAATTTATTCAACAATTAATTCACATTGTATTGGTTGTTTGAATCTCCCTATTGATGTTTAGAACTTCAAATAATCAGTCTGTTATTGGCATATGTGCATATTGTGCGTATTGCCTCGCTATTGCCTTAAGTCACAAGCATTATAAGCTGTGATAGATGGTGGCTAGCAGTGGAATCCAGAACACGCGTTTCATCCTATTATGGGACTCCTTAGCAGTGCACACACACACACACACGAACACAAAGAATCGTATTCGCCCTTATAAACATTTATTCACATTCAAAACAAATAACATTTAAGAAATTTTTATAGTGATTAAATTGATCTCAAGTTATTAATTCTACAGTTTATAAACCAAGTAGTGGTTATTATGGTATTTACTTTGAAAATTACAATGAGAATACAAAATGAATAAAACTAATGACTTGAAATCAATAGATGGTTAATCTGAACACCATTTTGCTTATTTCAGCTTGAATAATCTTGAAATATCATTGATTTTTAACACGAAAATCTGTATTGAAGTTGTTTACACAAAGTTTGTTACTAACTAGAATGACTATGTGCTTGTAATAAGTTAAAATTTATTATAATGTTAAGGAAATATGGAATAGTTTCACGCTATGGGAATCCAGGCACTAAGTATCATAATGAAATTTATTTTGATGTATAGTGCAATTCATATGCCTACAAGGCACTTATTGTATATGATATTGACAGGAAATAGATATGTAGATTTATACCTAATATTGTCTTTAGGTATAAGCAAAGTTTAAGACAATATCGAAGAAATACGCACAGTTTGCACATATACCAATAACAGACTGCGGTCCTAAACACCAATGGGAAGATTCAAGTAAACAATACCAAATGAATTGATATTGGTCACTATTCAGTGAATTTTCATTTCTATATGTCATTCACAATTACAGTGGTTCAATTACAGTTTAATTAATTGTATCTTTCATTTGAATATTATAGAAACCATTAGTTCCTTCAAGATTATATATTATTATTACTGTTACCTTTATTCAATATTATATTTTTGGTACACTATTGAATTCTCAGCATAAAGTGTTTTAATAAGTTTCCTTTGCCTATTTCTTGACCGATCCTGAAGATAAAATTGACTAATCGCCAATTAAATGTTAGCAGTTCAGGAATCGATATCTGAATAATGTATATTCTTTTCGATTTGTTCATCCATAATCCCTCTCTGAGAGATTTGAACTCAGAACTGGCTTAATATTTAAGTGTGAGTTCTCAACATAAGGTCTGTGATTATTTGAAAATGTGAAGTTAGCAACTCGCTGAAGAAATAGTCAAACGCTGTCGTGCTTAAGCCACATTTAGGACGAAACGACCTTCTAGTGCTTCCAGGTTTTCCACGGTTGTCTAGCTTCAATTGACTCATAATCTCAATTAATGAAATTACTACAGTCTCCACAAAACCCCTTCTCATTCTATTTTCTTTCTTAAATTATCCATATTTTTACTTATCATTTTAGATAATGAAGGCTAATTAAAATTATACACAGTAAATGAATGAATGAATGAATGGATGGATGGATAAATGTGAAACTTCATAGCAGCTATTTATCTTATTTAGTTTTATTATTTTTTACTCTACCTCAATATGAACATTTTGTGATGTTTTGCACAATTTCTAATCTATGTACATGTTTATTCTATTTCTTGTGTTGTTGTTGTTGTTGTTGTTCTATACAATCAATAAACTAGTGTTACTCAATCATGTGACAATATTACTACTACTACTACTATTAAAAATAACAGTAGTATATATTTCCTTAATTGATAACCGTTTTAGATATCATTTTATCAGTTATATAAACATTACATTCATTGTTATTTCTTGGTTGGTTAAATAATATTGAGTATATATGAATAAGTATATTATCATAAGTGTTATTATATCATGGACTATATAACTTTATATATGAATTCCATTTCTTTCTTTTTTGCAATAGATAGAAATAATTACATTTATTAGATGTAGTTTGTTCATTGTCATCCTTCTACACTATATGACATGTTGTTGTTTATTTCATGTATATGTAGTGAAACGAATGATTTTTGTCGAGAAGTTCTTTAATTGTTCATTGCTATATGTTTTTTTTTCTTTTCATTACGTTGTTCACATAAAGTTTACTATTTTTTTCAACGATGATCTAATATCAATCGGTTCATGATCCCGATTAAAAGCTTAATAATCTTCACAATCACTCTACTGATAATTACTACGTGCTCATTAGTAGTTAGCTTCGTGAGGGAATTCTTGGAGTTTTAATGAGAAACCATGACCAGTGGAACTAATCGGTGTTGGGTAGAGACAGGTAACTACCTCCGTACAATGGAAGATAATCGTGCAATTTCGTGGATTGGTTGAGGTCAGAGATTAACATCGTTAGATGTCGGCTCAATAGCTCAGTACGTTAAGCGTTTGCGCGCAAGACTGAAGGTCCTGGGTTCGAATGTCACGAGCGGGATTATGCATGCGCACGGCTGAGGAGTCTCACAATAGGACGAAACGATCGTCCAGTGCTTCCAGGTTTTTGATAGTGATCTAACATCAATCGGTTCATGATCTCAATCAAAAACTTAATATTCTGTACAACCCCTATACTGATATATAATAATAATATTGGTTTATTTACCATACATTAATAACATCGGATTCGGTACAAATTTTTATCAACCTCTCTTTGTTATACTTTATGTCAGTATAAATGAGAGTTGCGGAAACTAATACTTGCATAAATATATTTTGGTCTTGCAGAAGGTCGGTCGCTACCTAAAATGGCTCGTTGCTAACGTCTTTGCCTGTGGGACTGGAAGACCCTAAAAAGAATCTCCAGAAAACATCAACCATCTTAGTATTACATATAGACCATGCTGACAAGTGTCAAACAGCATGAAACCTTATTCTAGAGTTTTCTGTCGACTATGGCGGAACACCATCTTACATCTGAAATTAGTACTTGTACAACTTAAAGAAGACGACCAAATTACTATTAGATAAAAGCGTTACTCATTTCTCAGAAACACACAACACCTACGTATTAATCAAATATATTCACATGTGTTTAGCTTCTACATACATACAAAACTTAGTAAATGAGTATTATATAGATAACTGAAATAGTGAGAACGCTTGTGGATTGTACACTAGAATAATACAATCACATATTATACTAAGCAACTGTCACATTGAATCAAGAAATGAAATCAAGTTTCTATTCGATCCTAACATAAATATGAGGCAATTAACAAATGATAAATAAAGAAATTCCAATTGGATATAGAATTTATACCCTTAGACCGCTTATGATTGTGACCACAAGAAGTCAAGCGATTGATTCAGTGTCACTAATGATATTGTGATAAATATGCACCATTGAAGAGTCTTAGATCATAATCAATTATCAGCTCACTGCTTCATAATTTTCGTGAGTTCTTCGGTTAACGTTCGTGTGTGAGAAAGATTCTCTTAATATTGAATGATTCCTTGCATACTAATTATTATTGCTCTTTGTTTTCCATTTCTCAATATCATTCATTCTTTTTGGACAGCATTTCATTACCTAAAAATGAAATGCAGTCCAGAAAGAATGAATGATATTGAGAAATGGAAAACAAAGAGCAATAATAAAACTTAAGAGTTGTAGAAAGGAAGAAATATTATGATTTACATCATAGACAACTGTTGAAAAGCATAAAGCTCTGACTTTTCAAATCGTTGCTGAGATTTCGTCAGACACCAACACATCAGTATAGACAAGACTTCTGAGATAAGGAAAGTGGTCACCGAGTTCAACTACTACCCCTCTCTACCAGTACTTTATTTGTTGGCCCAGTTGAGTCTGGAATTAACATTTTACATTTAGTGAGAGATAAATGCATCATAAATGTACCTGTATTATTATTCAAGGCAGTCGTAAGGCTGTATTTTTTAATCTCCGCCGTACAAACTATATTATCTGCGTTTCCAAAGTCAACATGTGAATCTCCCAGTAGGAGATCCATACCTTAAGCGTCAAAAGGAGAAACCGTTTTCTCCAAAAGAATGTTCATGATGAGTCCAAATACATATGAGAAGAGTGGACAACAATTATAAATATCACTTTAAGTTATCAGTTCAGTTTGCAGTCAGCCATGAGCTTTAACTCGACCAGTAGTGTTTAAGTAGAGAGTCTGTACAAGGTTGATGAACTTCCTTGATGCTTTTGTCAATGACATGGCTCCATAAAGACCTTAAGTATATGGAGTCAAATACTGTCTCACAATTAACTACGGATGGTTTTCGGTTAATATGTCTACATTCCAGATCCTAAATGATGATGAATATTTGGTCGATTCTTGTGTACTGACTTATACTGAATCCCTGTAAAGCTTCTGTTAATCTATTCTGGCTTCTGGACAGATAAACTAATCTAATATTGTCAAATATTTTGTGACGTCCCATTTTTTCGCCTACGTTATCTGTCTTTGTCAATTTGTTACTGTTAGCCTTGAAGTTGTTTAGAAATACATGTGTACATTTGATTATTTCCCTACTCACATTTTATACATCTGATTTCATAGGTATAGGATGATTCATACTTAGACATTTTGAATAAGCTCTCATGTTTGCTTACATATGAATGTCTGAAATAAATTCTTTCAGCACATTTCATATTTGGCTTCTATTAGCACCGTTACACAATGGTGTTGACCTAAGTATCACGTACGGAGAAATAAGTGGATTATATCTATTTCATCAATGTCGTCATTAATAGAGTCGACACTATGCTAATATATACATGTATAGTTCTTAGATCAGTCTATATATATATATAGTTTTTTGTGATAAGTTAGAACAACATATATAAGCGAACAACATTGTTTTCGACTAGATCCTCATCGGAAGTTACTTTAATATACAGTATTATTCATATGCATATACGAAATTATTAAACCAATCAAGGTAGTTTATGAGTCAATGATAACAATGGAATAGATTATGCAATAAGTGAAAAATACGAATTGATAGCGTGATGACAGGTGTACTAGTTGTAAAAAGAATAATAAAGGCTTAAATCAATGTAACATGCTGGGAAATAGGTCATTGGTTGACGTTCGACACTAACACCATTGGATGCCGGCTCAGTGGTCCAGTAGGTTAAGCATTCGCGCGCGAGACTGAAGGCCCTTGGTTCGAATCCTGCGAGCTGGATCGCGGATGCGCACTGCTGAGAAGTCCCATACTAAGACGAAACGGCCGTCCAGTGCTTTCATGAGCTCAATAAAAAAAATAGGTCAATGGTTAGAAAAATATAGGCAGTGCGATAACAATTATAAAAATTATAAGATTACGTAATAAGAAGTGTTCAAATAATTAGACCCTGAAGCGTATATTTGAGAGAAAAAAAATCTCGCGCGGGGTGGGATCGTGGATGAGCACTGTTGAGGAGTCCCATACTCAGACGAAACGGCCGTCCAGTGCTTCCAGGTTTTCCATGGTGGTCTAGCTTCTATTGACTCAAGATTTCAACTATTGAAATTGCTAAAATCTTTACAAATCCCCTTCCGAGAAAAAAATGTTTGGGAGGGTGTGAAGAAAATAATATTACTGTATCAAAAGCAGTTTTGTGGTAATTGTAGTAATTTCATTAGTTGAGATCATAAGTCAATCGAAGCTACACAACCATAAAAAACCTAGAAGCACTGGATGGCCATTTTTTCCTATTGTGTGACTCTTCAACAGTGCTCATCCACGATCCCACCCTCTACGGGATTCGGATCCAGGACTTATCAGTCTTGCGCGACGTAGTAGAACCTGAAGAAGATCTAATCGAAAACAATATTGTTTGCTTATATCTATGTTGTTTTAAATTTACAATATGAAAATTTTTCAAATTTGTGATAATCTTTATTTAAATGAAATTCTTCATTTTCTTTTATCGTTTATTTGAATGATTTATTTAAATGATAACTATGTCATAAGTTAATTATTTCTTAAGTACATCGATAGATAGATAGATAGATAGATAGATAGATAGATAGATAGATAGATAGATAGATAGATAGATAGATAGATAGATAGATAGATAGATAGATAGATAGATAGATAGATAGATAGATAGATAGATAGATAGATAGATAGATAGATAGATAGATAGATAGATAGATAGATAGATAGATAGATAGGTAGATAGATAGATAGATAGATATTCACATATGTTTATGAAGAGAATTAGATCAAGAAAATAGATTATCCCACCATTCCAGAAAGTTCGAAGCTGAAATAAAGAAAAGTGAAAAGAAATTCTCCTTTCATTTCATTAACACATTCATTACTTATCTCTCTATATAGATGTATATGTAATCAAATTAATTAATTAATTAATTAGTTCAAAATGTCCTCAAAGTTTATGGTATTTCTCTATATTACCAGTTCAATTTTCATAAAGTTATTAGTTCAATTTAATGCATCGATAAAACACTTTTTTGTAGTCAAGTGTTGATAATTTAGGTCATTACCCCCCCCCCCAGTTTGTCTCTCTCTCTATCTCTCTATCTCTCTTTCTTGAAGACCATTGATTTGAATTCATTGAACGATTGAATTATTCATTATCATTTAATAATAAATTCAAATATACCATCCATTTATTATTTCTAAATAGATTGTAGCCCAATATCTGATTTTAGTTAGATTATATAATGGATTGTTATTGAAATATACATCGTGACTATTCTCGTAGATAAAGTTATCGACTTATTTTAGGTTATTAAAAATAATGGAATTAAATAAATCAACTAAGAGAATAGATTTTTGAATACATATCTTTTGTACAATCATTGATCTGAACAGATAATCAAAGGAACGAAACGAAGAGAAGAGAGTGAATTGAGACGACATGCAATGAAGAAGACTTGTGAGACAATATTTATAGTCATATAAAAATAAGCTACAGATATGTGATGAATAAGATAAGAAGGGCACACATATACGCTTACATAAAAATAGTCAAGGACTGATAAGTGAATAGTTAACAATGTCAAAACATGACTCAAGAAGAATGGATATATTGGCCTTTCCAGAAGCTACAATAAGTTATATGGGCTTAACATAGAAACTGACACTAGAACATTATGTACAGTTTGCTCGAATAGTAATATTTTACTTTATTACATACAACAATACGTGTTTTTAATCATCAAAGTGTGCTTTAATTGATAATCACAAAATGTATAATTCTAATCAGT